GTATCAAGTACGTGCGTTTTAAGTCGTAGACTGTTAACTGATTTAACTGGCAAGTGTCTTTAAAGATAGCGTGTCGGTGAACTCTGTTATGACATTTGTTACCAAGGATAAGGTAAATTTTTATTATATTCGCTAGTAGCTACAAATCCCTACAATTATTTTTAAGGTTTTTTAACTTGTTCCTTATTCAAACAGTCGACGTCTATAACTGTGCGGGTTCTCAGACAACACGCTTGTCACTGTTAAGCCCGTTTTTCACTACGGGTAATTTTCCGCGGAGCGACATTTTGCATTGCCGGCATCGCTTGTCACGTCAGCGAAAGAAAAAAGCGATCGGCAATGCCCAACTGAATATTTAACCGAAATTCTTCATATTACACATTCGAACTTCGAACCAAAGTCAAGAGCGCAGCATGAGATGGTTGGGAGGCAAATATAACTAAACAAATGTTATCACGCAATTAAGAAAACTTTAATGCATGTACAAAACACCTAGTAATCCGACAAAAAACATGCTCTCACACATTGCCAAACACTTGCTGAGTTCATAATCGGTTCAACAATTAATTAAGCTTTATGTCTTGCGTATAAGCCGTAATTCTAGCTGCTTTGAATTGATTTCTGCTCTATGTGATCAAGTTATAAATTCGTTTCGTAGCGATTGACATTCCACTAGGCGGAAAGCACCACTTAAAGATTAATATTGTCGGAGATTGCCTTACGTCTACGAGATTTCCCTTGATTTACATAAACTTGAAAACGCAATGAAAACCGCGTCAAATGAAGCGCACAATAATGTAGATGAATGAAAATCTTTACGGTATGGGCTGCATTAAAACTGTTGCAGTGGTTTAGCGATTTGTGCAGATTATCACTGTTTTAGTGCGAATCTGAAAATGAATGTGAAACTACGGGAAATTTCAATATGGAACAATAAAATCCGGGGGGTCAGCCATTCTATCATTCTGCACATAGAGCAATTTCAAATACTTTTTCCGCGAAAACAATATGACCAAGCATTATAAAATTTTAAAAATGCTGGCATACATCTTCTATTAAGAAAAATTGCACTTATATCAGACTAAGCAGACTTGCAGAAGAATTCCAATACCCACCCGGATTTTTGAGTCCAGCACGAGTTCCAACGAGTTGTCTTTTACGATTTTTCCTGCTGAAACCAGAAGTTGTTTGAAGCTAACGAGTGCGTTATATCATTCTACGATAGTTGTAGTAGAATGGTTTTGCTGGAAAATATTTCAATGTAAATGTGTGATGCGTGAGGATTTATTCGCTCAGCTGCGTTGTTGTCATTCGCTTCGGGTTACAAAAGCCGGTTCGCGTCAGCTACGTTTTGCGATTTTTCCTGACAAAACGACAAACGGTTTTAAGATCTAGTTTACTTTATGCCATTCACTATAATGTTGTAATGAATGACTTTTAGAGATTAGGGAGCTACAACGGGTATTTTGCTTTAGACAGAGAAATATAATATTGCCGATCACTTGTGACAATATGGCGCAGCATGAATTCACGTCTTGATCGTCTATCTTTTGCGATTTTTCCCGACTTCACATTTTGCGCTAAAGCCTTCAAAATACATTTGTTCAATGCGTAATGTTCTGAAGAAGAATGAAATTCGCTAACAAGTTTATTGCGTAGAAAGAAACTGAGTAATTCGACATTTTATACGCCAGACACCTGATCTATTTTCATATTTGAATCTGAATGTGAATCTGAAACTGCGAATCTGAAACTGTAAAGCCGACCGTATCAAACGCGTTTCTCGTAACAACTTCACTATCTTGACTACGAGTAGACAAATGCTGATCTTTATTCATGCTTTTACAGTGCGTTTTCCAGGTCCCATAAGAATTTTGATCGTGGGTACTTTGGTCTAGATTTAACTCTTAAGGACTGTGACTAAAGACTCTGTTTTTCATTTTTAGATTCTTTAAGTTTGGTGTTTAAATCGGATACTATGAAGGACAAGTTAGCGATCTTTTGCAGCAGGGATTTGTTTTCATCCTTTAATGCTCGATTTCCGTGGAGGAGCGACTCGTTAGCATACGCCTTCCGTTTATCTTGTATACTAGATACTTCTTGCGTTATAAACGCACTAATTTTGATGTTAAAGTCCAGTTCCAAATCCTTTATTTTCTCTACAAGTTCACTGCAGAGTGCAGATTAAACTATGATTTGGTTGCGTTGATAAGTCAATTACTTGAGAGCTTGAATTGAGTTTACGAGCTGAGAAGTCTTCGCCTTCAATAATGATTGACCTTTCGACTTCATTATGTATATGCCAATGTCGAGGTTGTTTTTGTCGATCAACGATATAGCATCATCTTCATCAGATTCTGACATTCTGTCCTAGCAATTGCTCGCAATTTGTCCTTCAGCTGTTCACAATCAATTCCTTTAATGACGTATTCGCATACCATCTAATTTTGACCGCTTCGTTCTCGAAAAGCTTTGAGTTGCCTCCTGGCGACGACCACTTTTTTGTCTGGGTTTGTAGTTGCTCGTTGATAAATTCTTGAAGATCCTCAAATTTACCACGCCACTTAAAATTACCCTTCGTTGAGATCGAAAGAGATTGTATTGCATCGTTTTCAGTCGCCAGTAATGGTTATAACTATAATGCACATGCCTGGCCCTGAATCGTGATTGAAGACTGGACGAGTAGTGAGAAGTACGTACTTGAGTACACTATAGCAAATCGTATAAAGCAAACTAAAGCAAACTAGGTCTTAAAAACGTTAGTTGTTTTGTCAGGAAAAATCGCAAATCATAGCTATAATTTCTGTTTACATTACATCGCAATTCGATGACACTCTGACTCAGACACCAGACTGTTTTGACAATTTTTAGCATTCGTTTAGGATTTTCAAACAACCTGGTCTCTTTTAAAATACTTTTAATTTGTTCTTACGTGGTTTACCAGATGTAGTGACGACAACATTAAAGTTTAAAGAAGAAAATTCTAACATTTAAACCGACTAAACAATAACATAGTAAACTTGCATAATTAAACAGCAACTAAAAATGATAGGTTTTACTAAATCTTTTCCTGTGTAATTATTACTAGCATTGGAGACAAGGATAATAGTTTGTTTGAAAGAGAAAAGAACAGGCTTTGAAGTAAGCCTAAAAGCGTTTAACTAGAAATAGTATTTCGAAAGTTATTAAGCACAAAAGATGAATTGCGTTTATTTTGATACACCCTGTAGATTCAAATTTCATGTAGATTCAGATTCAGTTTCAGATTCGAGCTGAAACAGCGTTAGTCTGCGTAAATCCTTCAACCACAGCAACTGTATAAACCGGCAGATATAGTGCAAAGAAAGACATTCATCTACATTACTGTGCGCTTCATTCTGTGTGGTTTTTATTGTGATTCAGCAAACCATGTCCGCAGGAAAAATCGCAAAAGATTGTTATTTTAGACTGCTCTTGTACATGCAGACATGGCTTGTCAAACAGTTGTTGTTGTATTAGTCCTCATTTTTTAATAGATAAAGGCGCGTTATCAAACCTTTTCAAGGAGGACATCTTTTAGTGCATTAAATCCGATGGTATGAAGAAGTGTAAGAGTTTGAAACACTTTTCTGTAGCTCAGGAAAAATCGCAAAACACAACAGACGAGTCAGAGGCCGCGGAAGCATTCCGAAAGTGGAGGGGCATTGACCAAAAGGGGCACATTTGTATATGACCAAAATCAAACGATTTTATGACGTTCACGAGCCGAACGAAAATTTTTGAAAATATGGAGTCTCTATAACGTCGGAAATGGCCTTTACAGAATCTTTACTACTGCGAAAAGGGCATTTTCTTTCCAGAAAAAGAGGGCGTTTATTCAAGAAATACTTTTTTGTTCTTTAAATGGGGCATTTAAGCCCAGAAAAAAGGGCACTTTTTTCACTTTTAAAAAAAGTGGGGGGGCACATGCCCCCATTGCCCCCCCGGTTCCGCGGCCCCTGAGACGAGTTGTAGATTTTACAACCTGAAGCAAAGGTCAACTGCAAAGTGAACCGAAGAAATGTTTCTCACGCGGCATGCTTAAAATTTGGAAGATTCTTTTGCAAAAGACATTCGTCTACGACTATCATAGAATCCTATAACGCATTTTTTATCGTCGAACAACTTGTTGTTTGGGCAGGAAAATTCGCAAAACACAACATGTGTTGAATTCAAAAATCCGGGCGGGCATTAATACTTTCCCAAACGTTCGTTTAGACTGATATAAACCAAGTATAATTTGTCTTCACAGCAAATGTTCACTAGCTGACTAGGAATTGTGATTAAATGTTGATATGTTCAAAAGCGGCCCTGTACTTTTCGCAGAAAAGGGGTTGGAAATGACGGAATCGTGTTAGGGAAGGACGACGGGAATTCAAACACCCCCGGATTTTATTGTTTAAGATTCAAATTTCATGTATAGTTTCAGTTTCAGATTCGAGCTGAAACACGTTAGTCTGCGTATAAAATCCTTCAACCACAGCAACTAGTGTATAAACCGGCAGATATACTGCAAAGAAAGACATTCATCTACATTACTGTGCGCTTCATTCTGTGTGGTTTTATTGCGATTCAGCAAACCATGTCCGCAGGAAAAATCGCAAAAGATTGTTATTTTAGACTGCTCTTGTACATGCAGACATGGCTTGTCAAACAGTTGTTGTTGTATTAGTCCTCATTTTTTAATAAATAAAGGCGCGTATTAAACCTTTTCAAGGAGGACATCTTTTAATGCATTAAATCCGATGATATGAAGAAGTTTAGGAGTTTGAAACACTTTTCCGTAGCTCAGGAAAAATCGCAAAACACAGCAGAGGAGTTGTAGATTTTACAACCTGAAGCAAAGGTCAACTGCAAAGTGAACCGAAGAAATGTTTCTCACGCGGCATGCTTTAAATTTGGAAGATTCTTTTGCAAAAGACATTCATCTACGACTATCATAGACTATAACGCACTTTTTATCGTCGAAACAACTTATTGTTTGGGCAGGAAAAATCGCAAAATACAATGATGTATTGAATTCAAAAATCCGGGCGGGCATTAAAATTTTTCCAAACGTTCGTTTAGACTGATATAAACCAAGTATAATTTGTCTTCACAGCAAATGTTCACTAGCTGACTAGGAATTATGATTAAATGTTGATGTGCTCAAAAACGGCCCTGTACTTTTCGCAGAAAAGGGTTTGGAATCGTGTTATGGAAGGACGATAGGATGTCAGCCACCCCCGGATATTTTTCGTTAAGATTCAAATTTCATGTAGATTCAGTCTCAGATTCGAGCTGAAACAGCGTTGGTCTGCGTACTCCTTCAACCACAGCAACTGTATTAAACCAGCAGATACCGCAAAGACGGACATTCATCTACATTACTGCGCGCTTCATTCTGTCTGGTTTTTATTGCGATTCGGCAACGCATATGCGTAGGAAAAATCGCAAAAGATTGTTATATTATACGCACTGAGATTGTTATTATGAAATTTGAATCTGAAACAATAAAATCCGCGGGGTTGATATCCTATCGTTCTTCCAAAGAACGATTCCAAGCCCTTTTTCCGCGAGAAATATTTGCCTAATTTTAAAGTATTTTAAACTTGATCATAATTTACAGTCAACTGGTGAAGATTCACTACGAAGGCAAACGAAACTTCGCTTATATGAGACTAACCGAACTGTGATGAAAGTCTTAATGCCCGCCCGGATTTTCGATTCCAACAGCGGTTGTGTTTTGCGATTTTTCCTGCCAAAACAACAAGCTGTTTGAAAATAACAACTACGTTGTATCATTTTGTGATAGTTGCAAATGAATGTCTTTCGCAGACGAATATTCCAAACTAAGCGTGCGACGCGTGAGAAGTGTTTGTCTCAGCTGCGTTGTCGACATTCGCAGTTCAGGTTACAAAAGCCGTATCTCATGATCTACGATTTGCGATTTTTCCTGACAAAACAACTAACGTTTTTAAGACCTAGTTTTCTTTATACAATTTACTATAGTGTACTAATGAATGTCTTTCAGAAATTAGGGAACTACACGCGCATTTTGCGATACACAGCGAAAAATAATTTTGCCGACAGCTTAAGACAAACATGGCGCAGTAAGAATTCCCGCGTTGATCGTGTAGTTTCTGCGATTTTTCCTGGCTTCACATTATGAGGTAAAAATTAAAATATAGCTTTTTGAAATGCGCAATAGTCTGAAGATGGATGTCCTTGACGAATTACGTTTATTCCGTGAAAAGAGACAGAGCAATTCCACATTTTGTACGCGACAATTGACCCCGTTTCAGATTCAAATTTGAATATGAATCTGAATTTGAATCTGAAACTTGAATCTGAAACTGTAGAGCGGATCGTAATTTCCGCCAATTACTACTTTAATATAGGCGCATTAATTTGCTGACGATACTCCTCACAGCGGAAAATAACAAACTTGTTTGTTTCCCACCGAACCTTTTCGATAACGTCATTCTAGGCCTACTCTGGGACCTAAAGTCGCCTAAAATCGCCCAAAGTCGTCTAGGATCCAACGAGTTGCGCTTGACGGTCATTATTCTGAATGGCTCGATGTGACTTCTGGAGTTCCACAGGGATCTATTCTCGGTCCACTGCTCTTTATATTGTACATTAATGACCTTCCGGATCAAATTCAGCAACCAACAGAAATGGCATTATATGCTGACGACTCAAAATTATATAGAACAATAAAATCGGATGCGGATACTGAAAATTTACAGTTAGATTTAAATGAAATGAACTCTTGGACAGAAACGTGGCGTATGAAATTTAATACAAATAAATGTAAAGTTATGAGGTTGTCGCGAAAAAAAATCCAGTCGCACGTGAGTGATTACATATTGGGACACGAATCTCTCGAATTGGTAAAAACCATCAAAGATCTTGGAATAACTGTGAGTGACGATGTTCGTTGGGGGAAGCATATTGCAGAGATTACGGCAAAAGCAAATCGAACACTCGGGTTGATCAAAAGAACCTGCAGAGACTTTGAAGATCAAACTGTCAGGAAGCTCCTCTACCTTACATTAATGGTCCGGCCGCAGCTGGAATTTTGTTCGGCCGCAGCTGGAATTTTCATCAGAGTTGTGGTCCCCGTCAGAAGTAAAATACCAGCTTATGTTGGATGCGGTGCAACGACGAGCTACAAAGTTTATTTTAAATTACCCTGACACTGGATATAAAGAACGTTTGATAAAACTTAACCTTCTACCACTTGATGTCAGGAGAAGTATGAAAGACTTGTTATTCTTTCATAAATGTAGAACAGGTCTATTGGATATACATTTACCAGATTATGTACAAAGTCGACTTGCTCCTAGATATAACATTAGGTCATATGACGTGAATAATTTCACTGAATTTAAATGTAGAACTGAATACTTTAAAAACTCGTATTTTCCTCGAGCTGTGACAATGTGGAACTCGTTAGATAGTGATCTCAAAGCAATTGACAGCTCTAGTATTTTTAAGTCTAGACTTCTTAAGAAATTTTATATAGAACTTAATGTTTATGAACTGCCACATAAGTAGTTTGCAGAGTGTTCCACTAGTTGTTAATATGTATATATAAATATATAGTAGCAAATGTTAGGTATATATAAACTCTTTAATAGGTTTTTAAATTGGTAGTCATGTTCAATTGGGGCAATGCCCTGTTTGGCCACCAGTTGTTTTTTTAACTAATTACTACATTCTTGTATTTAGCAGTATATATAGTAGTGCTTGGATGATGCAAGTGTGTATGGTTTTTCTTCTAAAGCAACAAAGTTATTAAACTAACTAAACTAAAATCGCCCAAAATTGCCACTCGATTTCGTGGCATTTTCCTAAAGTCGCCTTAAGTCGCTTGAAGTCGCCCAAAATTACGGCGACTTTAGGTCCCAGAGTAGGCCTGTGTCATTATTTTGACCAGGGATTTCAGTTTGACCTTCCGTTTCGAATTCGAAAGGATGCAGGTCGTGATTTTGTAACGACATTGTCAGTTTTTAGTTGCAGTCCCCCTCGAATCCCCGGTTCTGTCCAGGATCGCAGTTTGTAATTATCGGTATCTCCGATTCGACCCGATGTATTAAATTTGGATTTAGTTAGGTCTTGCATATTAATTAAAATACAAAGAATGGTGCATTTGACCATGGGTGCATTGCTGCTTAATTGGGAGAAATATGGTAAACTCGAGAAAAGTGTGTGCCCCGCCTCAAAGGCAGAAAAAAATATTTGTAGCCCGCTTCTATATGCAGCTCCAAAAAATGTACCCCGTCAGTGGCGTGCTGGCAGGGGGGGCCGGGGGGGCGCAAAAATGAAAAGGGGGCGCCGTCCCGTGCGGAATTTTGAAAGTGGGTGGGAAAAACGCATTTGAAAAAATATAGTTACTTCCGTCAAGAAGTATATATTTCAAGGCTTATAAACAGATCGAGACTAAGCGCATAGACGACAAAGTGATATATTAAATTACAGACTATTTGGTCTAACCGAATTTGCTAATTTGCTACTTTACGGCTAACACAAAATCGTTCATATAGAAACATAATCAGTGATCACACACAATGTCTCATTACCGGAATATTGGTCAGGTTTCGAAGCGATCACGGGAATTATGCCCTTTTTTGCTGGTATTATGCTCTTATATTATGAAGGTATTATGCTTCACGAATCGCGAGAGCGGCGCAAATTAGATAGTTATGATAATGTAAGTTGTGTACGCAATTTAGTTGTTTGTGCAAGAAACATCATGACTCATGAGTAATGTAAGTGATAAGATAATGCTGAAACGCCCCCTTTTGGCAGTCAAGCAAGGTAACCTTAAAGTGCATGTGCGTGGGATCCGTGTGTTATTGTATAAAAGAGCTGTATGTTGTAAATGTATTCAGATCAGCAGATCAGTAGAGAATAGAATTGGGATTAGATTAATCGTTGGAACTGAGTTAGCATTGCCCAATTTAAGTACTACAACTAAATTCTAACCAAATTGCAAATTTCAACACGTTATAATGCCGTTTCCTGACTATCAGATTTCTGTCAAACCTTCCCCCCAAAGTCCAGGAAATGGCATTTCAGAGACCCTAAATTCAAAAATTTTCCTAGGGGGCATGCCGCCGGACCCCCCTAGAGAAACCTCGCACCTGCGGCGCTCGGCTCGTGCCTTCGACACTCGTTTATCAAGCATTACAATATAGGGGCGCATATTAGTTGAAAGCCCACTGCCCCCCCCCCCCAGAAAATTAGTACCCTGCAGCACGCCACTGTACCCCGTCCTCTTTTTGCTCCGGCCCGGTATAAAAATAAATTTTGCATGGTCCCTAACTATAAGCACAGATTGCACAGCTATACTGACTATGCTATCACCGTAAAATAAAACAAATAAAACAAAGCTAAATAGGTTAAAATAGGTATACTCACACCGAATCTGAAAAGAAAATTCCAACGAACAAGAGTAAGATATACTTTGCTGTGTTCATCTTGAGAGTCAGTTTGGAACTACCCTCGATTCAATCCTGTCTTATCATTTCATACAATCGGAAATGAAAATACTTCACATTTTATGTCAACGCGTACATTAATTAATTCTTGTGGTGCCAGTTTTATATTTCAAGTCTACGTACGTGACAGTGCATGCGTAAGTGCCAAGATCATGCAAAGTCATAATCTTCGCATTAAAAAAACACAGGCTATTTCATGCAGGTTTATGATCTCCTTCTGTTTGAGTAAACAATTTGAAATCCCTTTTATCCACCCACCTTCAATAGGCTAAAATGGGATACTATACTAATACTATATTTCATGGGTATTGTAGATGGAAATTGTCGAGTGGAAATTTATATATATACATCCACTAAACCCATGCAACCAGGCAGAAGCGAAAAATGCAACCCTAGTTCCCTGGCAGGAATAGTGGATGTATATATAAATCTCCACTCGACAATTCCTACTGGCTGCTACAATACTATTGCAACAATTTCATCAAATATTATTTATTCGAGTGACTGAGATGCCACAAAAATGAAAAATCTGGATATTTTCCAATATATATATATATATATATATATATATATATATATATATATATATATATATATATATATATATATATATATATATATATATATATATATTGGAATTTGTTATGCACTGCTTTAATTAGGCGCAGTTGTGAAAATATGATATGCGACTTCGACAAACAATTTTTATCAATTTATCGGACTCGTATTTGTTCAATTCTTGAGTGGGCCAAGTGCCAAATAGATAAAGTGTTCGGTGGCGCATGCAGTCGTCACAGCGAACGCCTTTCATCTCTGAGATCGTGGGTTCGATTCTCACTATATGGACGCATGTGAAAAGAGTCGGTCAACGCTCTGCCGAAAGTCGTGGGTTTTCTCCGGGTGCTTTGGTTTCCTCCCACAGGGAAAGTTGACAGGGTGGGTTAGGATAAACACAGTTAAGAAAGTAATATCACAATTGTTGTAAAGATAAAATAAGCTATAAGTAAGTAAGCACAATAGTCTTGATGTAAAGCGCATTTCATCATATCCATATGTAAATTTGCGCTATAGAATGTGCGTCACGCACTGATCTTCCTTTGACTGGGACAACAGAAGTCGTGGATGAACCGATAACAAAAGCTGTCATCCTGCTAATTGCACAAAGCACACGAACCTACAGAGATGTGCGTCATAGCCCTTGCTGATGACGTAAAATGGTATGCAATAATAATAAAATGTACTTTGTGCAACCAGCACAGAACTGACAATAGGACGTGTTGCTCCACGATTTAAAGCATTTCAAAAGATATTCCAAGCGCCCAGAGGAGGGCAACTCAAAATTACAGGTAAAGTTGTTAACGTACCTGCAGATGTTCACAACACTGTAAACATGCTTTCCTAGACTATCATAGCAAATTGTGCATGCTGCCTTTGACCCGTGGGGGTGAGGGAGCACTTTCCTTGCGATAGTAACTTCTAGTCTAAATTTGTACTTTGTGCAACGAGCACAGAACTGACAATAGAACTGATGTCGTCGCACTAGGACTGACTCTCCCTCAGTCGCTCGTCCTGTGTTGAATGATGGAAATGCATCAAAATTTTAGTTAGAGTATTCCCATGGGCCTTTGCGTCCTATTGTTCCAACCCGCAATTGCGGCATAAGGAAATTGCAGGCTCCTCCGCAGAGGACTTTTTGTTTTGTATTTTTAGTATTTTTGTTTTGCCAACACCACCGCCAACTAAAACAAGGTAGTTTCGCCCCTGGCTGATCGTGTTCAAAGAACGCAAGTACCAAATATTCTGAGTATAAAACCCCTCGCACGTCGTTTTATACCCAAAAGGCAGACTGGTCAAAGTCGAAAGAGTGGAAATGCATAAATATTTTTATTTTTTAAAATGCGTTTCTATTTCCAAATTTCAATGACCCCGAAATGCAACGAATTTGCGCATCAAAACAGTCATTCTCTGCCGCGACTTATATTTTGAGACGTTCCAGACCACAAAGACGAAAAACCCTCTTAGGTTGAGCAGGAAACTCGTCACACGATAATACTGGAGTGTGAAGGTATGAAACAAAAATGAAAAATAGCACCAGAATAATGCCGATAAAATTCCAAACTGTTGATTGTAATTATGTTTTGAAACGTTAATTTCATGGTTGCAACATGGTTATTCGTATCACTATATGCAAGAGTTGATTCGATATTATTTGCCCAATCCACAGAAAATGTCATTAGAGCACATAGCTTTAAATTGACATATCTGGACATCTGCTTATTTGAGAACCAACAATGTGAGCTAGTCTGCCTCCATATGATACGGTCGAGACTCTGCGGTCGAGAATTGGAACCGACAGTACCGACTGTCCAACTCGGTGTCAGCGGAAGCCCTTCATGTTCACAACTTCACATAAAACACCACACACACTTCACCTATCTTGGCACAGTTCCTCGCTTGGTTCATTGATCACAACTGAACCTACATAACTTCCCTCACGTTCGTACATTATTCCATCTTGTTTATCGAAATACTAAAAAGATCCTCTTTTCTTCTCACGTGCGTATTTCCTGTTATTCAAACTTAACGTTCCAGTTTACTTATATATTTTGTGATTATAGCATTAATATGCATGTGAAATTATATATTAAGATATACTAATCTATATAATCTATTCCGACAGTAAATTTAAACTA